CTCCCTCGGCTACGTCGGTTGTGATATACCTTCTGGCAATAAAAAGGAACGGGAGGAGAAACACTCCGGGACCGATCGACGCAGCACGAGCGTGGCGTACCTGGCCGACGACTGGCGACTACTAACTGTCACGGTGACTCGTCCTCCGTCGAGAAGCGGATTGGCCTGGCCACAATGCAAACCGCGAGCGACTGCTGAGCAGACTGCCGTTGTTGACGTCTGTCGGGATGTTGATCATCCGGGCGGGTCACGCGATGGCTGCGATGACGATGACTGGCTGTACTGACGATGACTGACAGATTGTTGCTGTGGATTACCGTACCGTTTGACGATTGGCGGTCGTCCGGGGTAACATTCGCGGGCATGCGCGAGCCTGAGTTGTCCAGGAAACAATCTCTAGTATAACTGTAAATTATTATTATTACAAATTAATTTCAACAATTCTCTCAATTAATTTCTTGATATTGATCTCTGTTGAACTCTGAGTTCTTACCTTATCACAAGCAGGCAACACAAATTTTCCTTTTAATCCTTTACATTAATCTGCTGTTTAGAAAGTAGAGGGGAGAGACTTTTTAAAATCCTACAGCTACTTCCTTGATTTGCTATAATTCATCATACATATGTTTTCCTTGTCTTAAAGTCTTAGGGCCGGTTGTTCCACCTTTTGATAAATTTTAAAACCTGTTAAGTAAATCTGGCAATTCGCGCATGTGATTGGTAATCTTGCTACTTACCCAACAGATCAAATTTACCAAAAGGTGGAACAACCGGGCCTTAAAGTATGATAATATTTCAGCACTAGTAGAACAGCTTTTTGTCCTCAAGGTTAATTGATGAAAGACATCTATAAATAAAATTACGTAATTCTATTGTCACAGCTTTGTCAAAATAGTAACATCTTCCCATTTAACTGTGATATTCTATTTTAGCTTACTGAAAACAAATATTAATTAGTAAATTAGAAATAATCTTTAACAAATAAAATTAAATAATTAAATAATTAATTATTACAGCTTTTTCTCAGAGTAGACGTTAACATCTTTTCATCTAGATAGTATTCTTTTTTTGCTTATCACAGGTAAACATTGGATAAATTAGAGTTAAATAATCATTAATTGTTATAATTTTCTCAGAATAGACGTTAACATCCTTCAATTATTTATTGGCATTCTGTTTTAATTTATCACAAATAAACATTGTATAAATTAGCAGTAATCCTTAAAAATAAAATTAAATAATTATTGTCACATCAGCTTTCTCATAGTAGATATCTTTTCATTTTCAAACATGTTTAAAATTACCCATAAGACATATTTTGCGTCTAAAAGACAACTTAAAGTCAAAGAGACAAGTTAAAGATGTCTTATGTCACAATTTTATATTAACTTAATTTACCATTAACTTATTACCACTATATTAACTTCTTCTCATTTATCTAATATATTTTATCTTAACTTACCCTAATAATACAGACCTCCAGGAGATGTTCTTAAGATATCCAGAGGACATTTGTATGTCTTGTGATCATCCCCAGGATAAAGTGTGCTATTAGAGTATCGTCACTTAAACTAAAAATAATTCTTAACAAATAAAATTACACAATTATTATTCTTCTTGGATTGGCAGATTTCTAGCGTTTAATTAATCCGTATCTCAGTTTGTTACGAGTAGATATCGTGTAGATATTGGCGTACTATAATTAGGAATATAAAATTGAACAATTATCGCTTCTAGGCACCTGTCGAACTGTCAGATTCACGATGATACGCTACGCTGGTCGGAGAAAAAGCGTCTCGACTTTTCAAGAGTTCAACTGTCGCACGCAAATTCACTCGAGCGAGCGTGATTGCGAAGCGTAACGAGCTTCGATCGATTCGCAATCTACGGATGAAGAAATCTAACAAATACTCTGTACGGTGCAATTTATAATATCGATCCATTTGGAGGAGTTAAATGCTAACCAAATTCGCCGACTCCTCGGTATTTCTCTTCCTTCTCTGTTCAGGAATTAATCGGCGTCCAAACAACTCTGGATCGCGTGATCACGTGTCATATCTATCCGTAACAGACGAAATTGGAGAAATTTAAATGCGACGTCGCTGGCGGCAATTGCCAGGCGGCGCATCGATAATTCGTGAAAGACGCATTTGTTCCGACTGCACTTTCTACACTTTATCGCTGCGATGCATACTGCAAATATGATATTAAATAGAGAGAAAGGAAAGGTAAATAGAAAGAAACAAAAGGTAAAAAGATATTCAGTTGCAAAGAGAGCATAAAATCTAAAAATTTATTAACCTTCCCGTTAAATTTTACTATCTTTTCTTTTTTTTTTCTACAACGTCTAATCGTTATACATGTTGTTTTATTATGTGTGTTTTTTTTTAATTAAATCACATCGACGAGATATATTATTTTGTCGGTGGCTATATTTACATTTTTCTCTTTTTCTTTCCATACTAGAGAAAAAAAAGAAAAAAAACGAACGATGGCATGAAAAGAAAAAATGAACAGAACCACTGTAGAACTCATCGCAAGTGCAGAAAGCGCAAATGATAGTTGGTACAACATCGCGCAACAACAAGAAACGGACCCGTGGTTTGCCGATCGTATTGTGTACAACTTCAAAATCTAAAGGAGAAGCAAGTGGTCGAATTGTATCCTGCACGTCTGTATTTCTCAATAAAGTTTTTAAATCACGTTACTTTTCAGTCGCTAGAAATATATTGGCATGTGTCTTTTGTGTCAAACAGGCTTAGTTGTTAAGTCCAAGGATGACTTCGTTCGGTCGCGGTCGTGGATGGTCCAATCAGAACCATAACCAGGATAAAGATCAAGGGCTACGTAGACCAGGAGGAAGCGTGTCCAGCAGCAACAACAAGGTCCTGAAGGACATAATAGATAAGATAGTTTCGTACGACGAGTGTGAGAGCGTCCTGCCACAGGTGATCCAGGACATCGTAGACCTGTTGACCGTTGCAGTCAACGAGGACAGTCTGAGGTATTACGAGTTTCCCTTCGGGAAACAGAGGATGCTTTCCATGACACAAATTGGCACAAGTGTCGGTCTATCATTGACTGCTTTCCTCTTAGGAGACAGATGCTTTCTATTTATATTCATTTCTAACAAGATTAACTTGGTTCAACTTACTTTTTATTTTTTTCTAATTTTTACAACTAAAAAAAAGATGAATAGTTTAGAATAAGAAAGTTGAGCCGAAAATAAAGTTACTCTATATTGATGAAAATAAGAATTAGCGACATAAGCATCAACTATCTTGACATTCAGTGAATTATAAGGATAGAATGACCCTTGTTTACTTGTGTAATCAAACAGAAAACACCTGTAGTCGACACAAACATCATTGACATTCATTAGCTGTGTTTAATAGACAGTTTATTTTACAACTATTGGAAGTTTCAATCAGAAAAATAATCCTATCTCAGCAAAGGAAACTTCCAACAGTTACAAAATAAACATTTTGCTGAATGTGGATAAATAATAAAAATAGAATGACACTTGTCTCTTAAAAGGAAAACAGCCTTTATTATTTACTAAAATGTCAACAAAAAAAAATGATGTTTGTATCGACTCGTGTCACTAAATGAAAAGTGCCAGAGAAAAGATGAACCATGCAAGAAGTTCAGCTGAAGAGAACAGATCTCTTATGGTCGAACATTGGAGAGAAAAAGATGAAAGGCAGTAAAGGGAAGATGTAAACTTTTTGGGTCTGTTCTCTTTACAGTTGAACTTTTCTTTCTTTCTTCTCTTTGGTGATCATTCTAATGTAAATATATATAAATTAATCATAAATTTTAGATTTGTATGTGACTCTCTTTGGAAGCAAGCTATATACCACTCATTGACCATGAAAATAGCTGTGATATTCAGCGATAACATGGTTGCACGGTTAGAAGATAATAATAAAAACACTATACGAAGCCGCTTCTTACGTTTCCTTCAGGATAATTATATATGTAGGTATTTTTTATTTTTAATCTCTTGTTCTACATTCTATATTATGCTATATTGATATTGTCCTTCTAGCTAAGGAAAAAGATAGAGAAGAGGATAAAAGAACATTTGCCAATAAAGTTTTACTTCATTCAGAAGTTTACTATCACATGAAATTGAGCGATGGAAATAGATTAAAAATATTAGCTGAGCCGTTAATTCAATATTTAGAAGATCTACTGCAAGACAATCCTAAGGATAATATTTATTTCATCATGATACAGGTAAGATTTTGAATGTATCCGAAGTGACACGTACGAATAAAAAAAAGAATCACATAATGAAGATTTATTCATTTATAAAAGCGTGATGTTATGATTAATAAGAAATCTCGTTTCTTTTTTAGATACTTAGAGCTGGTAAAGATCTTTATGCAGCGTGTCCAGGTGGATTAGAGAGCTTAATAATGACAATCAGGCAATTGCTGGTAAAGGAAAACTTACATAGTCCCGAGAACTATGCGGCATTATTACTAATCATAGAGTTAAGCAATAACGACTATGAAATTAAGGACACGCGGTTGAAACATTTTTATTTCTCAAATATCAAGTCTCTCTCTTTTGAACCTCCATTTTTTCATGAAGAATTAAAGGTGATCTTAACGACAAAGACTGAAAATGGTAACACAATGACTTAAATTATTAATCGTTAAATAAAAATGTATTATATATATATATAAATATATTATATGAATAATACTACCGCTACTATCATAAATCGAACAATTTTTTGATGTTCTAGATAATCAATTGCGGGAAGTTGAGAATAATCAACGAACTGTAAAAGAAGAAGTGAAAAATGATATATCTGAGCATGGCAATTATTCAAAAAATTCTAGCGTTCCAAGAGCGATACGCGGCTCAGGTGCACTGGATAAATCAAAAAAAGGAACTAATATTAATGCAAAATCAAATTCATTGAGGACAACTCCACCGAGGGAAAGGAACAAGGGTTGGGGTCATGATGATAGGTTTCATGAACATTATGAATAAATATCTACCTTATACGAGGTAAATATTCATTATAATTTTAATATAGCTAAAATAACAAAATTGATTTTTATTTTGACTAAATGTTTACAGGCACTTGTATGCAATAATGACAGTTATAAAATTCTTTCTATATTGTAATTTCAACAGAAAATAAATATAGCTACAGAAAAGGTTTTATAGAATGATCATGGATGTATGTATACACGACATACATATATTATCGTGATTGCGATCAAAGCACAAGAAAAACATACTGGATCTTTTTCTTCTACCAAAAGATAAGAAAGTAGTCCTATTTTGTCTTATTTTAGCATCAAAAAGTTACGGAGTGTATGCTGTAACATGATATGCTGTTATTATGTGTTTTTATCTTATACTCAGGTAAAATTTCCGAAATGTGTTTTATGTGAGATCATTTTTATGAAAGCATCATTTGCAACATCACAAAATACAAATTTTAAAATAAGCAGTTTATTTATAGACAGTTTATTTACAGACATATCATTTAGATATTCAACAATCTTGTTTCATAATTTACCTAAAGTAGGATTATTGTATAGAATTAAATATTATTTTTTACTTCATATTTAATGATTTTGGTATTCTGAAATTTTACAAGCGTGTACATAATTTTAATTTTTTTTCACAGATTGTAAAAAAATGCAATATAATATTATGTACTACATATGCAAATAAAGCAAATTTATCCTATGATTCCATAATTCAAGTCAGGTCTCGACTTCCCTCAATAAGGATTTATATACAAACAAAAAGATAATAAAGCTTCATTTATAAAAGTGTGATGCTATGATTATTAAGAAATTTTGTTTTTAGATACCCAGATCTGATAAAGATTTTTATGCATGTCCAAGGGGCTTGATAATGATAATTATGCAACTGCTGATAAAGGAAAACTTATTTAAACAATCCTGAAAATTGACCAGCTTATTGTTAGTCATTGAGAATTGGCTAACTATGAAATTAATCGGAAATGAGTTACCAAGTCATTGTGCAACTATCCACTATTCAACCATTGTCCACTGTCCAATCCTAATCCTGGAGAATCAGAGTTTGCTTTACGCAGATTATAAAATTTGTATGTAGGATGAGAGATCGAATCCAAAGACCTGTCAATTATGATTCAGCCATTTTTATGTGCAGTCACGTAACGTCCCAAGTAAATAGCAATTCTATCATTATTCGAAATTTTTGCCTAAACTTATTCAGATTTTATGATTATTCTTTGTAATATTTTAGATTTGTCGTTTGCAGCTGCATTATATTATTATACCTATATATATTTTTTCATTTAATATAAAATAGGTGTATAATTGGACATGAAAGAAAAAAAAAATTAAAACTACAAAAGGTTCAATTATAAAAAATAAATCTCTAAATAATATTTTAAATTTATCACAGTCGCACTGTGTTATACTTTTTGCATTTAAAATGAGAAATAGATTATAATTGGATGAGAAAAGGACAGAAGATAAAAAGGTACAAAAAGTTCAGCTGCACACATAAACCTATATTCATAAATCTACATCATATATGTATATGAAAATCTATAACATATACATAACGTCCCTGGTAAAAATTTTTCTTAGAATTTTTTATACATGTAAATTCTGAAATAATATTCTAAAATTTCTCATTCTATAATCTTCAAAAAAATACCTCAAACTTTTTTTAGACTATAAGATTTTATCAAAATGGAATGAAAAACCTTTGAAATCTTGGATATTACATAGAATTCATATATGAAGAAAAGATTCTAGAAAAGTAGACTTTCTCAATACTTTTGAAAATTTGTATTAAAAAATCCGATAAATTTTTTAGAAATTTGCAAAATTCAAAAATTCTGAAATTAAAATAAAAATTCTGAGAAAAATTGTCACTAGGTGAAACTACCCTTGGAGGGTAGGTTTCAGTTTCGCGTTCTTATGCAATATTTTTTTTTAAATTAAAAATTAAAAAGAGGCCCCTGACAGAACGTTTTCCAATCTCTCGAGTTCCCTCTTGTATGTCGGGTATAGAGGTGACGCATGCGCAGAAGATCCCGCTTTCTGGGGGGAACACCACTGTCGAGAATTCGAGATTCGATCTCGTGGACACATGCCGGGACAAGACTTGTGCGACGTCAACAGACACGCAAGTTCAAACGGCCGGAGAGTCGCGATCCCCGACCGTGTCACGTTACGAGTCACGTGCGAATATCATCGTCACAGATCGCATTTTCGTGGCAAACAGTAAGTACTGCTGAGTATCGCTCGATTTTTCTTCCGTCTCCGCGCAAATCTATCGACGAATTCATGCGGCTGTTTTGCATGGCGCGCACTTCACCAACGCGTTTATTAAATCAGCAAGGCAAATACGACTCGACGCAATTGTTTTTAATTAGCTGGTTATTACAAACACAGTTATCTCGGTGGATATGTAAACTCGTTACCCGTCTTTGACTCCTTGCAAACATTTGCTTTATATTACAGCTCCTTAGGAAAACAACGCATCGAGCGACGCACATTGTCGCTTAACGAACATCCGAGGAAGAACGCTCTTACAAACATCGTTATATATTATCATTAGAAAAGAAAACATTGAAAAACACTCGCTGACATTGCTAGGAATTCAAGTGAGAGAGAAGAGCCTGTAAGATTACAAGAACAAGACAGTTTTTTTTTCTTAGCTTGCACATCTCTCAAGTAGTATTTTGCACTTGTTTATAAATGATATTAACAGAATGATAATTAATGCAATTGATGTGAGTTAACATGGTAGTTTTAGTGCACAGGACGTTATCTGATATAAACACGTGAAACAGGTATTCATTTTATCAATGAGACTGGATTTGTCATGTCTTACACTGAACTGGAACATGGTTACCAAGTAAATTCTCTTTATAACCTTATCTCGAGATAAGATTACATGTTTCCGCTTGATCTAACGACATTCTTTTGCTTTACAGGGTCTCAGGAATGCAAGCAGACCGATGTTCTATATAGGAGATATAAATACAGTACAGTCGTCTGGTATTCCCTCAATCTATCGTTCGTCGAAAAGAGTAAGTTTGGGATGATTATTTTACTGTTGGTGAAATACACAAGGTCTGTTTTCTATAACTGAACTAGTGTACGTTGTTGGAATTTAAAGTGAAGTAACTATATGTTTGATATTTAGTAAAAGCAAAAAAAATTCTAATGTAGTCTAGTACAGAAATAAAAAACAGACCTATGATTGTAAGTGTTTGTAATATTGCATAAGACACAGTTTGAAGTCTATCCTTCAGCTTCCTAACGGCACATATTAGTATGTTTATAAAGCTGTATATAAAGTAGTTTATTTATAAAGTTTTTTTAAATGTAAAATGAATATTCATTTTTGTTATATATTATGCGAATAATTTTCTAGATCTTGCATCTAGTTGTATGTATGAATCTGATTTTTTTATCTGATGAGGTATCACAGACATAGAGAAGTAACGTGACGCGAACAGAGCCACATGTCTCTGTGACAATCGATTATTATTCAAGAAATGGATTGATTTGAGATTAGTAAAACAGCAACGTTGTGTTCCACTTCTATCTTTTTATCTTGTGTTTATGTTATAAAAACGACAATTGTGCACGCTGTAAAACAGCTATATAGGAAAACGTAGCATAGCATTCAGTCAGAGGTTAGAAATCTATATATAGAGGAATATGTGATACATATAAATATTTTTTTACGCATAAAAAATTATACACCTATATTCTCTTACAATATTACTTGCCCTTTGCAAGCGGAAATATACCAACAGTTACGTAAACAGTTGCTAAGTAAATGTTGATGAAACTTTTGGCGGTTAATCACTAATACCTACATGGTCAAGAGATATACCCTTATTACATAATATCAGCTTTTAAAGAATTAAATCAGTCAGTGTAAGCATTTGCGATAAATATTAGTAAATATTTCCATGTAGTGAAGTGTATAAATACAATCAATAGAAGAATAGGCTAAATTCTGTGTTTTTCCATGATGTTTGGTCAGACAGGAATTTATCTCATCATAAGATACATTATTCGAGCACGAATGGTATGCACGTAATACAGCAGTTTAAATTTTCTATTGATGCATGTGCAACGCAAACAGTCATCCCGTTTGTCACTAAGGAATATTGTATATTTGTTAATATTTACCATTAATTATATCAGTGCTAATATTGACCGAATTATAAATTCTTTCTAACTATGCTTGATAACATTATGGCAATTGCAAGTTTCATCCAGAAGGTATTCGTTATTCGTTACTTTAACAGTGTGTGAACGCAGTTCAAATAGGCAAACAGTATGCATATTATTAAAATCTAAATTAATTGACAATTTAATGTTATATTCTCATATCATTTGAAGGGATATGCTGCCAAGAGTATATTTGAGTCCTAAGTTATAGTGATAATGTTCAAGTGACAGTGAGAATAGAAGTGATATAAATTTTTCTTTATCTTTCTATCGTGATACGTTAACTGTAATCATACTTTTGAGTGATCGATATTGGAACATTATCAATTAAATCATTGCTTATTATCAGAACAGAAGACATCAGAATTTATGGAGTTTTTAATACTCGAAGCAATGAATTTTATTTTCAAGGTAAAAGTGCGTGTGTATATGTATAGGTATATGACTAAAGAAATATGTATTGTAATGCTCTAATAAGAATGTGCTTAACTCTATAGAAATAGATACAAATACATAAATAATAAAGATTTATCAATTGAACATAACAGATATGTAGTTTTCTGTGATAACTTATCAGATATTGCTAATCATAAGAAATTTGCTATTACAAGAACTTTTTATATTCATGTATTTGAATCATTATAAATCATAGGAAATGAAGATAGATTCCACTATATTTCTTTAACTTGCTGTAATCTTTTTCTTCTTTCTTTTATCACATTAATATCTCACCTCTTTTTCTAAATCTTTCATTGCAGTGATTAACAAACGCTCGTACTTTGGTTTTGCTTGTTGCTGCATGACTGGTATTGCATTTCTCATTGAATCTGGATTATAGTAAAATAGTAATGGTAAAGCAAAATAAACAAAAATAGATGAAAATATAAACGTGTAAGGTGAATGAAAATTTTATAATGAATGAATCAC